ATATATATTAACGATTGATCTGGTAGCCAAGTTTTCGAGACGTAGCCGCCTATTAATTCAATATTTATTACCTTTTCGCACCGTCATTGGCATGGATGAATATATTTATGATTGGTTTATTCCAGTCAAACGGAAAGGAATATCATGAATATATATTTTTTTTATTTGGCGCAGCGGTTGCGGTTCTGCTTCTAAACCGTGAGGACTGAGGTTCAATCACTCGCTGTGTCTGTACCTTGTTTCCTTAGGCAAGGCACTCTAACTACGGTTGTCTCTCTCAACCCAGGAGTACACGTGGGTACCTGGTGGATTCCAACACAAAAATACGCTAATTACAGCTGCAATATTATGGAATTAAATCATTGTATACACAATCGACAATTATTATTACTATTAATCTGAGCTTTGGTTTCATAATAGCATTAACGGTTACTAAATATACGTATAATTAATTCATTATCACTTAGAAATCGACATGAATGCTAATGAAGTTGACAAATGCCTGGACGACAATTCCCAGAGGGCGACAGACACCAACGACTCTGCAGGTCTTAATGGTTTCACCGAGGTTCACCAGGTAGATGGCATAACACAAAAGTTTAAGTAAGTTAATGATTCATTCAACACAATTATTCTGGTTACCATCCAAATAATATCTATTGCTGTAATAAATTATTATAAAATGTAACATTATGTTTTACGTATTTCTTATGGTTTATTGTATGATTTGAATTTGTTCAGTTACACAGAACAGATTGTATTATAATTAAATACCATTAAGAATGATATGTCAATAAATACAAGTCAACATTTTTTTAATTTACAAAACCAATCACTTGGATATCTGAAATATATTGAAAATTGTGCTGTAATGTAGTTGTCAAATGATACTTTCTTGTAATCTCAGTCGATGATATAATTTTTAACAGAAAAATGGGTCTGCCAAAAAGAACAACAAAGCAACGAACAGATAAGCAACGAAAATGGATGGAAAAAATGCATGCTAATCCCTGGGTGTATGAATACAACATGGAAAAGAAAGGGCGTGCTTTTATATTCAACAACTTAGAATTTGACTACGCGGCAACCGGAATGCTCAATCGTGACGGCGCTGACGACGATGCAGAAGGTCTATTTGACGCATTCAGTGAACTTAACTTTAAAGTAAGCACGCATCCAAACTGCACCTTAGCTACAACACGCGACATCCTCTATCAAGGTTGGTTTACAATGATATAAAGTGTTTGTGCATGTTATAATAACATTTTGCTGTTAGCTGAGAAATTATTTACATAAGCTTAAGCCCTTAAATTGATAGATTAAACAAGATAAGGGTCTGTATATAAGGACTGTAAATAAGCAAACACTCAGTTCTTTTAATTCATGCTGCATTAGAAGTTGGAAAAAAATTGTACTAACTAAAGATTGTGGTTACAATATTTCCTATTTTGTCATCGTGAATAATCAGGGCGAGCAAAAATCCTTATTTCAACAAACACAAACCGATTTATAACATCATTCTTGAACGTTGTACTTATGTTACATCAACGTTTAGTTCATAATAACGTATCTGTCTGCAAACTACACCATTCTAAGCACCAAAAATGTCTGCGTTGTTATAATTATATATATGATATAATATAATATAATGTAACATTCTAAGCTTTCAAACAAATAATAGAGATAAAATCTAAACCATTTTGAAGTAATGCTTTAATTATATATAAATATATATATCGACCTAAATTTATTATATATTTATTGCAGCATCTCAGGAGATTGATTATTCAGAATATTCCTCTCTGGTTATTGTGTTCATGAGTCACGGTGACGATGGCGTCCTTTATGCCACAGATGGAAAGCTTCCTGTTGATGAGCTAACAGCTCCGTTTAAGGGCAACGCTTGTCCATCTCTGGCCGGAAAACCTAAATTATTTTTCATTCAGGTAATAGTTGCTAAACTTGACAATGTCACATTAAAATGATCAAATTATTTCCTCCTTCTCTTAAGCTCTGTCCAAATTATCTAATTTTTTTGAAAATAAACTGTTGTATGCCCATATATAGTCATGATGTGCCAGTATATGGTAATGATATGATGTCATCATGACTATAAAGTATTTAGGAATGTTTTGTCAAATAATATTTGGTAGTCCGAGAAGCTTTAGCTTTATAGAGCTACATAGAGATATCTCTTCTATAATTTTGTTCAAATGTATAATGGCCTCTTTCAAAAACATTTTCGGACGTATTTAAATATTTTCCAATAATAGCTAGCACTTTGGTGATTCTTTTAGTTTTCATCTAATTGTACACTCAGTAAGAGTGTTTTATATACTGTAAAAAAACAATATTAATGTTTCTTGCAAAAACTTGAATGAATTTATTTTTAGGTTACATACGTTGGCCATACTGATTAAATTGATGGTGACGGCAAAATGGTGAATAAGATAGTAATAATAATATAGTACTACATATAAGTGATGTTATTAATAATTAATGTTTCAAATCGTACAGTCTTGCCGCGGACAAAAATTTGATGAGCCCGTTGGGATTGATGTTGCTACCGATGAACCTGATTCTAAGTCACTCGAATTTAAGGAATTTAAGCAGAAGATCCCTTCGGAGGCAGATATTCTTCTTGCATATGCCTGTCCACCAAGTGAGTAGCATTAACATTTCAGCCGCATAGAGTTATCATTTGAGATCTCCGTGTTAACTTCATGACCTTAATATCTTGTTTTATTTGTTGATAAAATCGATGTTGCCATGTAATGCTTATGATGACATTACGTCATATCTATAGTTCGAACACAGTGACCTTTAAGTATTTAATAATTTACAGTATTTATTTTCTAAACACTGAAAACATGTGTTGGATATTTCATTTTATTTTTATAATCACACCTATAATATAAATGTCTTTCATGCACTGTATAACCAAACTGAAATATATTCTTACCAAACTAAAAACTCACTAGCAGATATTTTTTAATTAGATTTGTCAGTTCTATACTTATTGAGGATGTGTGAATTGACCCGTTCTCTCTGATTGTTAGCTGTGCCTAATTATATAATCCAGTTCACCATCGAACATTCTGCGAGCAGGAAACTCTGGCTTTTCCTCATGGCTTGGGGTTTTCCATTGGGTTGGATTGGATTAGATTGGATTCATTAGGTTATATCCAAAGAGTCTACTGCGTTCTTTAATGTGCACATGGGCCATAATGCTCACGGGACCAACGGCTTAAACGTCTCATCCGAAATATCGTGCGCCTCGTAACTTGCATTTCAGCACTCGAGCTGAAAGACAAGGAAAGCTACCACCAGTTTAGCCGACTGAGCTCAGCTGCTCCCTCATTATTTGTTCCTTCCCTGAAGATACCAAGTTATTCATTAATAGACCTAATTATTTAGTTTGTTATTGATTATTAGCTGCTCTCTCATTATTCGTACCTTCCCTGAAGATACCAGGTTATTCATTAATAGACCTAATTATTTAGTTTGTTATTGATCATTAATTGTAGAAATTGTGTAGCACTTTCGTGCTAAATCGTTCACCTCCTACCAGCTTTCATATAGGCCATATTAATACGTTATTCTGAAAATAATATATATATATTTTTTTGCAGATTATTACTCATTTAGGAGCAAAGATGACGGAGCCTGGTTCATTGAAGCATTGGAATTCGTTTTAAAAACATATGCAACCGACAACTTTGAAATCCAACAATTGCTCACAAGAGTTTGTCACATCGTAGCGTATGAATACGAGTCGCGAACTGGCCGTAAAGCGACAACAGGCAAGAAGCAAGTTCCATATATCGTATCAACACTTACGAAAGATTTGTATTTAAGGAGTAGACCTAGTCCGTTGAAATAAGTTTTTACCGTCTTCATGGAAATCTAATTCTGAACGTGACACTAACCCAGTATACTCAACTATGTGCTTGAAAGAATTACTTAGTTGAAAAACAATGCACTTTCAAAGCTTAACAAGCTATTTTTTATGTTTAATACTATGTACATCATAATGATGAGGTGTAAAGGATAGAACAATGCTCTATTGCCGAGTTTATCGAAACAGCAACGACGTACAGCATCTATGACTTACGAAAGAGACATTGTAAATTTGATAACATTTCAAGTTTTTATAGGCACGTAAAATCTGTTGATTTAACTTCCTGAGCAAATTTGATCTGTTCAGTGTCAATCAAACTGACCAATCAGAACAAGGCCAAGAATACGCGTTTGTTCCATTTAACCCCCAAAAAAGCACACGTGTTTACGTACATTGCTTACTGGAAAGGTCCATTATGTATATACACTTCGAGATAGGCGGAGGTATAAACTCATTAACATATAAAAACTATAGCAAAGGAACTTGTTTAAATTATTCTGGCATTTAGTGCGCTTCTGTTAATAATTTGCAATAATAAATTATTTAATGTGAGAGCTGAATAATTTATCTATTATCAGTTATCAATTCCCTACTGATATCTTTATGAGTACACAAAATTGTTCGAATAATAGGAAGGATCCACCACCGCAGTTGAAGATGTGCATCGTCATTAAATGAGCAGGCTTGCCAATTTACAGTTTATTTGTTATATATTTATAAATAGGCCTATTATATTATTTATATAGATATAACTATAGACCTGTATTTTTAATAAAAAAAATTGATTTGATTGTCAAATTTAAACTCTCTAAACTAATATCATTTTACTGTTTGTATATACGCAGGTAAAGGTTGCCGATCACTGGCAAGAATAGGTATAACAAGAATATAGTATAGAGGGCGAAGTTTGGAAAAATTAGGTGAACATGGAGGAATTTAGTTTAGTCAGAAGGAGGATCTTGGTGTTTTGGTAGGAAATGAATTACAGTTTTAAATAGCAGTTTAATGTCTATTCTAAATCATTGGCTATACTTCGCTTTTAATCAAAGCATTACCAGAATGCACGGAGATTAGTTCTTGAAACATAAATGTTGAATAAATATATATTGTTTTTATGTTGTATTCTTCTTTTATCTTCTAAAATCATGTTCCACTTAGTTTTCGTTGAAAACTATGCTTGATACCATTATATTCGAGCACTGTTATTATTTTTTTATCTATTTGTTTTTAATGTGGCTACGGTACTACGCAGCAAATGTAAATTCAATGTTATTTGTATGGTTTCCAAGCTGAGACTTTAGGCTTTTCCAGAACCTTAGCGTTTCAGTAAGTTATATGAGAGAAAGTGCCTTGGAGTAAGATATTATTATGATTCACTGCCAAAATATGCACACGTAGTAAGTTCTACCGCCACGTACTCATTAAATTCAGAAGATCCAGCATTGAACTGTTTGACAAATGCTTACAATTCAGAATCCAAGTGCTACGTCACAAAAATACATATGTGGGTGTGGGTGTGTGTGTTTATATATAATTGCTATTATGTGATACCATATTTTTTTTCTGAAAAGTAACAGTGCTTTAAAACTGGACATGATTGAAAAGCTTTCTGATAGGTAGGCAAAATCCGACTCATCTGGAAAAAACTACTGTATTGGTTTTCTCAAATTTCCTCTTATACACATCTAGATGTGTATAAGAGACAGTCCTCATACATCTGCATCCCAGTGAGACTGCATAACGGTCCCAGATTGGTGTCGGTGAATGTAGATCGGGGTTGGCACGGCGGGTTTACGAAAGGGCCAAATGCACTGCGGTAATCGCCATAGAATGTCTGGATCAGCGATGCAACACCCTGGTCGGAGATTTGTAACGTTTTTACTCGGTTTTTGTTCGGTGACAAGTTTTTTCAAGCAGTGGCGTTCTAGAAGTCTTGAAATGGTGGGTGGGGTTGCTGATAATAGGGGTTGGGGGCGAAGGTGAATTGGGGGATCGATCATCAGTTGAGGGGCGCTAATTCGCAAAATAAGGTGATTTTAGGTAATTTTTAACTACAGTACTAGACTGTGATTTTTGGGGAACGACTGGGGGCGCGAGTAATTTTTTGAGGGGCGTGTCCCCTGCACCCCCTAGATACCCCAACAGTGGTAAGATGCTGGCAAAATAGAGATGATTATGTAAGGAATAGTTTATCAATGATGTTATTAAGCCACCTAAATGCTTATTGAATAGTTTATGTGTCAGCATTTCAGTGGATTACAAAGAGCTCGATACTAGGGTAGCGGTAAAGATTTGGATATAAAAAGACACTAACTCTAATAATTGACAAAACCTTACACTTATCCAGATGCAGTACCGTATCATACAAGACACTGACGCCTAACGGTACAGCGTGTCCAGATCCTCCTGAGAAATATTTTTTATAGAGTTTAAGATCGTTAACATAGAAAAGGATTTTAGAGTATTTAAATGAAGGAATAAGATCATTAATATAGATATTGAAGATATGTTCTAAGTACGAATTATACTTCTGCTTAGTCATTGCTTTTAATTCCCTTCGGGCCTTTTTAATTTTTTCCCTTCTTTGACACCACTGTGTAAAGTGTATAGTCATACCAAAGATATAAATAGCAGAAGATATAGCAGCTTCCCAATATAGTAGAACATCCGTTCGTAATGCATTGTGGGTTCACGGAGAGCAATTTACCCCATCCGCGCAGCGGCGCTATATATAAATTCTAATGGAAATACGCGGAACAGCTAATTCTTCTGCTATTAAGTTTTTTGGTGATACCACGCAGGAAGTTTGCGGTTATGGGCGTACAACAAGTTCGTTCAGAGTTGGAATGACCAAACCGTAAAACATTTCTACGCTATCATCAATACTACTAGCAAGATCTAAGATATTCCATGGTACAGTATATTATGTCTAAACGTTTCATCAATGATATTCAAATTTGTCTTCTGTACATGATACGGTCACTTTCATGTGAACGAATCGTATTACGAACAGATAATTTGAAACTAAGTAACTCATGGTCAGAAATGAAAATGTTTTCACCTACATAAACATGTAAAAGAAGATCACATTCATTATCATTGTTTCGACTAAAAAGTACAAGATTAAATACGTGATCATTACAAGTTACATTATAGTTACATTGTTTATATTGCTGTCCGTAAATGACTATATATAGAAAATGTTCACCGCAACTATTATGTGGTGCAGTAGTTGGTTTTTAAATACCAAATTATTTTAGGTAAATAATATCTCCTAAAAGAACGTGTCTATGACTAGGACATCTTGCCATCGCTTCATCTAGTAGCGCAGAAAGAACTTCAATGGACTACGGGCCTTGATTAGGAAGTCTGTGTTAAGTTCCAATTATAAGCTTCTTTATGCATTTGAAAAGTTTACTTCGACCCACATTAGTTTAACTTTTTTTATCTTCCAATTCAGTAACTCTGAGAGTAACGTAGATGTCTGAGGCAACTAACATAACACCATCGTCTCTTTTCCCTACCCGCTCTTTTCTGTACCGAGTGTAATCCTCCATTTCAAGTTCGGCATCTGAGAAATTAGGGTTAAGCCACGACTCTGTGAATGTAATGAATTGATAACGCTTTATTTGCAATACGATGGCTGGCTAATTCAGAGCCGTACATGTCCAGTTTGTTTTTAATACTGCGAAACCGTAGTTTCAACACGCCTACTGTCGGTATTGTTTGGGTTCTTCACATTTGCATCATCACGTTGTAGCCGGGGATTCTTCTCGATATCACTCTAAATTGTCAATCCGGACCTAAAAGTGGCAGGATGTGTACGTGTAAAACCTGAATAATATTTTACACTACTACCAAAATATTTCGGTTTATAATGCCGGAAACAAGAAAAGCAAATGAAGTCCGCATAGAACGATTAATAATTAATCAATATTAATATTAATATTCATGGTAACAGATAATTGTGCTTCTAAAGTCAAAAGAATAAATAAACATCCAAAACACGGTACTATCATAAAGCAAAAATGGTCTTAGGCACAGAGAACGGCTTTACTCAAACAGTGCTTTGGTGAGAAAAACAAATGGTATAATCTCTTTAGTGTCCATAACGTAGCATTTAAACACTACACTAACATCTCTATACAAGTTAAGTCTTTAAATAGCAGCTTTTCCTTGATACGGCATAAGCTTTCAATTTACTAGGCTCAGAGAGGGAAAAGCAACCAGTGTCCTGTAATGAACGTCCGTGCATACGTATTTTAATGAGGCCATACAGCGATAATGTTTTACGTCTGCGCTCGAACGAAGCTTTATAGTTTTAAAGTGTAGGCCTATTATTTAGTGTTAACGGCTATCTTTATATATATGTGTATATATATATATATAAAGATATATATATATATATATATATATATATATATCAAGATAGCCGTTAACATTGATAATTATATAAATCATCAAAGAAAGGCGAGCGTCATAACCATAAGACCACAGAGACTTCATTGTTGGACCAACTCAAATAACCTCCATGTACACTCTATTACACAATAAGTACGGCTGGAAAAAAATAGTTGCACATAATATAAATCTAGATAGCCGTTAACACATATTTTCTAATAAAGGACAGATAATACATCGTGTAGCATACCTCTTAAAGGAATTTTGTCCTATAAATAAATGAATAAAGAATTTGTGTAATAAAATTCCTCTGATGGGATTCGAACCTGCAACCTCTCGCTGGGAAGGCGAGCGTCATAACCATTAGACCACAGAGGCTTCATGGTTCAACAGACTTAA